AAATAAAACAAGTTTGAATAAAAATCAGAAATCTACTTAAAATGAAAAGAACAAGGTTTAAAACCAAAACAAGCAATTATAAGGGACTGAAATCAGTCCCCGGCAACGGCGCCATTTTGTTGTTTGTTTTCCTTCCTAGTGCTAAAATATGTTTAGTATAATGGCACAAGTAAGGGTGTCGAATCCACAGGGACTAATTGGACCTATACAATCACTTGTTTTGCAAGAACTCTATTAGAGAAATAAAACTAATCAATGTAGGCAGATTTGTTGTTGTAACTTGAAAGCATAAGAAAATGAAGTAAACACCAATAAATGAATCAACAACTAATAAAATGGGATAGCACCAATGGAGATGAAGCTAGGGATTCGGTTTCACCATTGCTAAACCAAGTCCATGTTTGTTAAGTTAGTTTATACTCAGCCATCTACCTATTTCTTGAGTTTGTTTCACTTAGATATGATCAACCATATGATGTGTGGATTTGATCACATGTTCCTAATCATGAGCCTAGTTGTGATGTGCAACTTTGGTTCCTAATCAAGAAGGTGTCACGCACAAGAAACTTTCATAAAACCAAAGGTAACACTTGGCAGGTTGTTTGCAAAGCATTCCCTTCATCCATTCACATATCTACCAAGAATATGCATGATGTGTGCCCTAATCTTGGCTAAACAACCTATGGTTAATTCAAATGGTGATCAAACATTAAAATCAACTCACAAAGTCACAATTAAATCAGAGAATGAAACAAGAAATAGATGGATCAACTGAGCATTCTAACTTGTCTACATGGCAAACTTGCAAGGCTACATCGAATCCCTAGAAATAGATTAGTTACACTTCATGTTTACAGAATGTTTGACATAAAAATAGACAACATGAGTGAACATAGAATTAAGGAGAAGGAACCCTTGAAGCAAAACTGATGTCGAAATCCCTTAAGAGTAGCCTTTGGTGTTGGTTCTCCGAGTGTGTTGTAAATGAGGTGGATCGGCTAAGGTTGGATGTTTTTTGCAAATGGGAGAGCAAATGGACAGAGATGGAGCGGCTAGGATGTGTGAATGATGGAATGATGGTAGTGTGAATGATGGAAGTGTCCCAAGAGAAGTGATTTTGCATGGTTTTATAGGAGTTTATGGGAGAGAATGCAGCTGGCTTTTGAAGAGTGGAGTTGTGAGCTGGAAGTTGATGGGATGAGTTGTTTTAGTGCTGGAAGATGATGGGATGAGTGGATTTCTGGGATGGTGGATGCACGGCACAAGGGCAATATGCATGCATATGGCTATTTTAATTGAAGATGCATGTGGAATGGCTGCAAGGATGAAGTGGACAACCTGGAATTGGTTGTACAAATCTGGAAAGGGTATGAAAGTGCACGGCATGGGCATGAGGGAGCTGTTTTGGTGCTAGAAGTGCATAAGTGAGCTGGAACTGCATGGGAATGCACGGCAAGGTGTGTAAACATGCATGTGAATGCATGTTTTGGTGTTGGAACCACCCAATCTGACTTCAATGTTTTTGCCTTGTTTAGAATCACCCAATATGGCCGAATTGCACCACTTTCCTTCCACATCTTTTCCTGAAATTCCAGCAGCCAAATGTTTCCTAGATTCTTCATTTGGACTTCAAATTAACTCCCTAGAATCCTCTCCACGTTTGGAATAATGCTCAGCTACCAAAAGGAATGTTTTTACTTCATTTGCCTTCCCATTGATCCTAATACACACTTGGCTGCACACTAACACAAAATAATGTAAAATGCAACTAGTTTAATCCAAAAACATCACAAAGACGCCAAATAAGGAAGATATAAATGCATGCAAAATGTGACTTATCAAGTGTCTCTTTATCAATTAATCTTGCAACCCACCTAACAATTCACCAACGAGCTTGAAGGATCCAAAACAACGCTCCACATCCTTCTTACACCCCTCTTGACATGTTGTGCAGTGTTTGTCCTTTCACTTTGTGAACGTGACACTATTTTGATAAATGATGTCCATATTGGGTAAAAGTTGTCTGTTAGGTAATATATTCTTGAGTACATGGTTCAATTTATTGCATATGTGACTTAAGGAGATTTTCCTTGTAGCACATCATTGAATACTAAGGATTGGGTAAGGACATTGAGGTTATTTTGAGCTCCTAGACATTGAAAAAAGCATGTCAAATTCATGTATCAAATTATGCAACCAACTCCAAAATGATACTTTTGGTTCATTTTCTGTTTCCATAATCTCCTTGCCATGGACTTGGGTAGTTTTTTCACTGCCATTAAATACAGTCGATGCTTCAGTCATGCTAGGAAACCTCGCATCTCACCATTTTTTAGAAGCCTTTGCAAGTCCATTGTCGTGGGTCACCGAAAGTACTCATTAGTGTAGATAGCTTCGATTGCAGAGCAAAACCTTATCAGGGACTCTAAAACAGTTGACTTCCCCATCCTCACTATCTCATTCACTTGGTTTGCCGATGCCCTATATGCAAGCGTTCGCAAGGTAGCAGTAATTTTTTGCTCAGAAAAGAAACCCATACATTAAAAGCATCACTCTTTTGCACAGAGTATGAATTGTGGTTGCAAATAGCAATCATGATTTTGTTGAACAAATGTGGTTGCATTCTAAAACGACGTCTAAATACGCACCAAGGTAGACACTATTTGGGACAAAGTAAATTTTTGAGAGATCATTCCCTTGTTATTCCTTCCTTATATCGAGGTTCGGGGAACGACTGGGTCTAGAGATTACCACTACAACTTGCACGGCATGACGGGTATGTGCGGCTTTTTCTCTTCTTGCTTCATCATATCTCATTCTATGTTCTTGGTCCTCTCGCTCTTCCATTTCGAACAACTCATTTTCTCGCTCCTAGAGATCGAACTATTCATTCACTTGCTCTTCGATTTCTAACAATCTTCTTGAAGAAAGCATTGTAAGAACTCAAGATTTATACATTGTGAAGAAGGATTCTGAGAGATTTTGAATTTGATGTGTGATTCTAGGTTGGATGTAGGTTTATATGGAGAAAAAAATAAAGAATGAAGTTATAGATAATGCCACGTGGTGCCGTGATTGGTTGAACAAATAGTGACACGTGGCGTGATGAGATTGGTCAAAACTCTAATCGAAATCTATCCACAAAAATTGTAATTTTGCATAATGACACGTGGCGTGATGAAATTGGTTAAAAATCCTATCTGAAATCAAACATTAAATTATCTTCTTTTTAAAAAAAAAATAATAAATTTTTATTACCAATTGCCTGGGCAATTCATTTACAAGGTGGAGATGTACTCGTGTAGAATTAAGTAATTGCTTTTGCCCAATTGTCTATGCAGTAATTGCCTTAGTGAGGTGGACTTGCTCTTAGGATTTATCAATAGAATTTTTTTTTTTTTTTTTTACGTAGGAGGTATCCAATTACACATTTATAGCAAATTAACCCCCTCTCAATGTAGCTCCGGTACCAAATGAGGTGGTAGCATACTTTTAACTAGGGATGGGCATAAAAACTGTGGAACTACGAAACCGAATTGAACCACGACAAAATAAACCGTTAAGAAACATGTTGACAAAAAAAAGTCAATGTAGGTACAAGAACCAAAACGAACCATTCATTCCGGTTCCGATTCTCATGTTGGTAGAACAGCTTAAAACCGAACTGAATCGTGAATATAAATAATTAACTAAATCTAATAGTTGTATAAAGGTGTCACTAAATAAATAGTGAAAATCAAACTGGTTTCTCCTGGTGCAATTGCATAGGAACATTTCTCAATTAGGTCTTTCACTTGCATGGTTCACATATTGAGATAAGGCACATATTTAAAAAAAAGAGGTCATTTTCTCTCCTAAATCTCCATATTTGACATTCGGGTTTCGATATATTTTTCTTGGACATAATGATCTTAATGTGTTAAGTTACATCCAACTTTTTTCTTTTCCTTTTTCCTAGGCCTTTTTTTAATATCTTGATAAGTCCCCTTTGAACTCAAATTATTGTATTCATACTAACATTATTACTGCATAGTGGATATATTTGTATTTGTGGATGTATATTCGTATTATGAATGTATATGTACATTTGAATTGTGATTTTGTTTTTGTTTGCTTGGTGCCAAAGATGTTTACATTTTAGAAGTCGTATTTGAATACAAGCATGCAAAAAACAAGAAAAAGAAAACAAGTAAACTTTAAATACCATTTTGATTTGGTATTCAAATGATTTAGTATTCAAAACTATAAACTAGCATGAACCAAACCGGAACCTGTATAAACCGAACTGAATAATTTTAGTAATAAATTTAAGCAGAACTGCACCAAACCGAACTATTAGTATTTCCTTGTTCCGATTATGGTTTGAGAATGAAACTGCACCGTGCCCATCCCCACTCTTGAGTCGAATAGGATGCAAAGCAGAATCGGACCTGAAGGGAAGTTTTTAATTAGGGATACGTCCAAAGTTGATTTTGGTTTTTGGCCAAGTTATTATGTTTTATTTGTTAATTACATCTAGGTCAAAAAGGAAGGCCACACAGGCTTTTTTTTTTTTTTGTGGAAACAAGGCCACATAGTTTTCAGGCCTTGATTAAGGTGGCAAAATGATGCTTTCCTTATGCCACTTTTTGCTATGGTTTCAATCGTTGTTGGTAGCTTCATGCAACTGAGAATCATCTAATGTTTAGGGGTCACTCTGGTGTTTGAAGGTTGATCACATTTTGTACTTTTTTTTCGGGTTGATGTATGCTTTTAGTTATCCGAAGCACGTTTAAATTTTATGAGTTGTGTTTTCACTGTTTTTATTTTCAATTTACCCTATGAGTTGTGTTTTCACTGTTTTTATTTTCAATTTACCACCATGAAGCATCGTGGTTTTCAAACTTTCACAAGTTTTGTTCATCTCAATCTCATACCTAAAGTGAGGATTGTAAAACACTTCATGCTTATGTTAGGCTTTCTGTCAAAAGCTCCGCTAACGCATGACATGGCGCCACATGTCACTGACCCCATGTGTACATTAAAAAATTAAAAATTGTAACATTGCTTTTTAGTGATGAAATAAGTGTCAATGTCTTATTTTTTTTAGGAAAAGGAAAAATAATACATATGTAAACCAAACATTTACAAAGAGTTTTCTCTACTAACAAAATTTCTAAGCTGTGAAAGATAGGCGGGCGGAGGAAAAGGACGGGAAAGAATGAGAAAGAGAGATTAGGAAAGAAGAGAATGCTCCTCCGAGGTCAATACGAGGGAGGGGAGGGGAAGAAAAGAGTCCTATTGGCGTTTCAACGAAGGAAGCAGACAGTCGTACACTCGTACCATGCGTGTGGTCAATATGAGTTTATCTCCAATTTGGAGGCTGGGCTTCCCCAAGTCAACAATATCCTCACTCAACCTGTTCATCATATAACAACTCATAAATTATTTACTCCAACACAATGCCCCTCTTTCTTTCTTTCTCTCTGTTTTTTTTTCTTTTTTTTAATGTGAACAAAGTTTACATTGTAAAGAAACTAACCATTTCCATTCACCGGTTGCTTTTGCGTGCCTCTTCACAACACGGTATAGTCGATCCAGACTATACAACAACAATCCATACACGCACTGCGCTTCTTTCTCCTGTAAATTACAGATAAAGTATCAAGACCAACTTCTTTGCTTCTCTGTTTCTCCAACAAATAAAGTTTGTGAATGTGCTTCTTCCGTAAACCAAACAAAAAAGCACACAATAATAAAGTTTGTGAATGTGCTTCTTCCGGAAATCAAACAAATTATGCACAAAGAAAAACAAAGAGTGATTACAAAAGAAAATTAGAGGAAAAAAAAAAGAACATGATTTAGAAACAACACACAGATGATGTTAAAAATCAGAATCAGATCTCATCAAATAACAAAATCAATGAGAGGTTGCAACTATTAGCACTTTCTTATCAAAATTTTACAGATTCAATTCCTTGTTTTCATTGCAGTTTTTCATTACAAATCATCAAATAGATCATTACCCAACTCTAACAGAACAAAACAACAAAGATTTTTCTATATATTTTTCAGTGTTTTAAAAAAGGAGCCTTGAGGCGCGCCTAGACGGCCTTTGAGCGGGGCGGTGAGGAAAACACCTTGCCCAGCGGGAGTAGGCTTAAACTCACCTAGGCATGGTCGAGGCGCACCTAGGCACCTGAGGCATCAGCTGGGGCCTCTTTTTATTTTTATTTTTTAAGGTAAGGGTTAACCTATACTGAAGAAATTTTTGAATTGATTGTTGATTATTCTTCTATAATGTTTGATTTCGACTATATATGTTCAATTTCGGCTCTATATGTTTGATTTCAACTCTATTGTTGATTATAATTATATATAATTATAATATAATATATATTAATAATCAAACGCCTTGGCTTTGCCTTTTAAAACATTGATTTTTTTTCAAGATGGAAAAACAAAAAGAAAAATAGAATAATCAAAGAGCATATAAATGCTGACTTCTATCGTTGTTATCCTAAGTTTAGCTATATTTTATTGGAATTTGTTATTACCTTATTTGATTTGCTAAAAGTTTATGGCTCTATGAGTTCGTGAATTGCTTCTCCTGTGCAATCTTTGCAAGCAATATACTTATCACATCTAATTATTTGTAATCTAATCTAAGGGGTCTAATTTACTTATCACATCTAATTATTTATGTTCTTCAGAATGCAATATTATGCATAAGTGCACATAAAAGAAATAAAGAGAGCAAACAGTGTACCCTCCCAATCCTTCTCAATGCATATAATCCTGAATTAAATGAGTGAGATAACAGTTCTAAAACACTTTTCTTGCAGATGAATACCATTTGAGACCTGTATGCTATGAAATAATTGCCCAATACTAATATTTGTATAGTTCTATATTTCAAGCTCTTCTAAATAAATTCTCTCTATTGACAATCAGTACAATAGACAGTTTTAGAACTGAATTCTTACCATCCCTTGACCGTAAAAAGTACGATACTGCATAATCTGTTTCTCAACCTCCACAACCAGTAACCTCCGCTGGATCCGAGCAATTCTTCCCCTTCCTTCTGCTCTAGTATCCTGATTTGCATAAGTAGAAATGAGATTGAGCAACTAATACAAACAGGAAGAGAGAACAAATTTGCACAAATGGTAACATTAAAACATTACGGAGCTTTACAGAATTAAAATATTTTCAGATGACTTTAGCTTTGATGTCTTTTCATAAGTCCATCTGGCATACATTATGAAGAATGTACCAAAAACTTTTTGTAGCCCACAAAATAAATAAATAGTTAAACATTTCTCAATTACAATTTGACATACGAATTTTGGATGTCAAAGAGAGGAAAAAGAAGTTTATGGAGAAAACTGAATTCTACGTGTTTTAGAAAGTTTTGCAGTAGGCTAGTAATGCTGTTGTCTTTAACTGTGAACAATTGTTTTGAACTCTGCGCAATAAGTTGGAGTCGATGATGTAATCCATTACATATGGGATATGCATAGAAATGAAACTACATCTTCATGTGAGAATATTCACATGCAGGCACTAACATACTTAGCATAATTTAACTTGAGAATATTTAAAAAAAAAAAAAAAAAAGAAAAAGAAAAGCTTAAGAAACCTCTCCTACCTGCTTGAACCATGCACGCACTACCATTAGCAGAATGAGGGAGAGGAAGAATGCCGGTAAAGCCGCCAGAATAGCAAAATTGATCTCATTTGCCCTCAGAATTTGGTTGAGTTCAAGCATCGCCCTGTTCACAATAAGATCATCTTTAGGAACTGAAACATGAAATAAGATGGTGCATCTGAAAAACTTGCGTATTAACCAAGACACCAGGATCAGAAACGCACGTTTCAATATCCAGCTTTAGCTTCTGAACCTGTGTGGCACCAGGCATTATAACATGAGAAATAATATAAACAGTGGTAACAGTACTGATAATAGGTAATGGATACTACCTGGATCAGCATAGCACGAGCCAGCTCTCCATTAAGAAGGTTCTGAATAGGATGTGTAAGTTCCTCTTCATACCTATATATTCATAAGATTAAAAAAAAAAAAAATCTATTTTCAAGTAGACATGGTATTTTTTTTTATGAAACATACACATACGATTTCAGAACTATACACTAAACAACCAGTGAACCATATGCATCTTAACAAAACCATGAACAAGTTTCTAATCTACTGTTTTACACATACCGGCAGAGTACTTGTTTAGGCTTATCTGGAATTTCAAGAAGATCGAAATAAAACAACCAAATCATAAATTAGATTACAACATATATTAAAAATGGGATTTTTTTTTTTTTTTTTTTTTTTTTAAATACATCCATTCCATTCATATGAACTTCAACAACAAAAAAAAGGGGGTAAATTAGCATCCATCATTTCAATCATAAGAAATCAAATTATTTCAAAATTTTCCAAGAGAGAAACAAAATGAGAGGTTCAGAGGATAAGACCAAGCTCCAAATATGTACACTAAATGAGAAACTCAAATCTGAATAAATTCGTTGATTTAGTAGACTCAAGGATATAGGTCACATTCAAGAATTTATTATCAGACATGACAATTTTATTACACAATTCCATAGATCATGTTTTACTGCATTCACAAGTCTCAAAGTTGTTTCAACAAAAACTTTTCATGTCAAGACTCTGGACAAGAGTTAACCAAAGCTACGTATTTATACAAGCACATTTTATGTTTTATAAAAAGAGGCTAGCACAAAGACGCAACAGAAGCAAGCAACTATAAATACCAACCTGGCCATGACTATTTCAAGCATTTCCTGATCTGATGCATTCTCTGGGAACTTTTGGCCTTTTGTCTGCTCAGTGAAAGCCAGTAACATTCTACAAACGAGCCGATAGAAATGTTAGGTTAAAATAAAAGGCATCAACCCAGTTTAGCAAAATAAACTAACGCTCAATGTGCTATGTGAATGTGACAAAAGGATAAATAAATAGAACACAAACCCAGTGATCTGCAAAGAATAAGTTTCGTTAGTATAATCAAAGGATATAGTAATATTCCCTTCTGCCTCTTAAAAACACTTTTTTTTTGATTAATTTGAGAAACACTCTGCATAAAACAAAAAGGGAAAATTGTAGCAATACACCCAAACTAAAAGGGTAAAATCTTTATGAACTACACCTAGTAATGCAAGTCACAGGTAGCACAAGTGATCCAAAGCCCACAGAATAAAAAATGAAATGTATAAGGATTTAACAGTTAGAAAGAATAGTTTTCTAAACCACTGCATTAATTGTGAATTGAACATCCCCTCCTTCCACTAAAAAAAAGGGCAACTGCCCACCACTGACATAAGACTTGATAAGTCACAATCTGCATGTTGATCACTTTCATGACTTGAGAAATGTGAATGGCATGATCAGCATTTTACTACCCACAGTTTAAGTAAGTAAAAGTATGAATTAAAGGGGGAGATAAAAACATTAACCTGTGTAGAGAATTAGAAGTTAGTTGCACTTCTTCATGATCCATCATTCCTTTATGTCTTTTCCTGAATGTCTCAAAGAGTTCGTCTCTAATAGACAGAAGCTAGGAAAAATTGAGTCAACATATAGCTAAAGTCATTAGAATATTCAGATGTTTATATAAATATGAAAAAGGTTATTTGCATATACCCCCCCGGGGGGTGGGTGGGGGGTGGTGGGGGGGTGTTGTGGTGGTGGTGTGGGGGCGGGGCGGGGTGGTGGTGGAGAGACAGACTAAGGTTGAGGTCAGAAGTGAGTGCCATCTTTTTAATAATGAGATAATACTTCAAACCAAAACTTAAGAGTAAAAACAGAACAATTACAATACACTTAATTCTCAAGGATGCACATTAAAGGCTGGATGAATTAAAATTTTAAATGGAAAAGATCATTGTGGTTCTCAACAATTAACAATATGGGCTAAGTGGACTCTTCACATCTTTTCCTGCAATCTATGATAGGAGAAACTGAGAGGGGTTTGGCTAACAGGCACTCTGGCAAAATGAGACACGAGCATACTTTGATCAATATCTAAAAGCCAACAAGGGGAACCTCTCTCTGAGGTGCTATTGGAGCAAATCACGTAGTAAAAAAGGACTTCAAAAGGCTAAAGAATGACTTCAGTATGCAATTTTTTATTTTTATAAAGAGACGATATTATAAGAAGAAAGGGGAAAACAAAGAGGGCGGTCAAGAAGAAAATCACCCAAAACAGAAAACAGAATAACCACAGCCAACCAGAAAAGCTAAAACACCCAAACACCAATTATTAGGCTGCCCCTTCCAATCTAAACAAATTATAGAGAGAGATTCCTGGGAAAACTGAGGCCCAAAGGGCAGACAAAAACTGAACTCTATCCCTTAGGTCTCCTAAACCGCCTCTAGCATAATCTTCGAATATATCTACCTGGGGTTTTCATGTAATGGCTGACAAGATGGGTTCCCTTAGTGATACCGAAAAATAAATTCGAGCTCTTAATCGATAATATAATCCATCCAACTTAAGAAACAAAATACCGCAGGTATTTGAACTGCTAATGTCTGCTATAGCTTCCATGAAGAGTAAAAGAATTTATCTGGCTGTCAGATGCACTCTGAATTTTATTTTTTTACCTCTTCAGAGAGGAGACGCGAGAAATTAATAAAAACCGAGGAGAAGATGTCCTCTAAAATGGTGAAGACAAAAAAGCAGAAGCATCGTCCACATTCACCATAGCAACTATACAACATATCCAAGATAAAAAAAAATGAAGGTATTGAGAAACAGCATTGCAATTTGAAATAATAACAGAAAATGAACTCTCCCTAATATCTGAAGATACCAAAGCTCGAAACATAACCCCTTCCAACAAATAATCCACCTCTCACCCGCCTACATCCCAAAATCTGTCTACTCCTTTCCACCAAATTCTTTTTTTATCACTATGCCTCTTTCTTCCTCCAACTTACTTGTGCTTCTTACAAATAATGCCACACATGTAGCTGGAATCTCCCAGCTCAAATTAGCCTTCACGAATACCCTCAGCCAAACAATCAATGCTACTGGACTGTGCAAAAACAGATGACCCATTCTCAGCATCTTTTATCACAATTCACACACCAATGTCGACAGTACAGACACAAAAAGAGGTGTTCTCCTTTGAACCATTTCACAAATATTACACTGAGCACTATTGAAGCTAATACCCTTAGGGTGTTTTCAATTGAGATTTTAAAGGATTTTTATGGAATTATAAATCCACAGATTTTGATGGAGTTTTAAATAAATTACATAGACTCCATGGAAATATATCACAAATTTAAGCCTCTGATAAACTTCTATCAAAGGTTAATTTATAAAGTGATCATCTGAAAATATAAACTTCATGTCAAGACAGTTATATGGCACCATAGGTTCCTTCACTTTCAGTCAAATAGCATAACAAATATTTTTTTGAGCAGTAGAAAATTAAAGCACGATATAAGTTGAATAAATATACCGGTTGCTCCACATGATCGCTAAAGAAGCTGACTGTTGAATCCCTCGCTTCACGAACCCAATTGTCAATGTCAGGACTTCCCATCAGACTACTATGTCCTATAAGCCACACAGAACAAACTGAGAGGCCAACCGCACCACATGTATAACGGATCCAATATTGTGTTACCTTCCTTGGTTTACGATGTTTGCAAACCTATCACATACATAAATCAAAGAAAAAGTATAAAGAAGTATACGAAAAAGAAAAACAGGAAATAAAATAAATTAAAATAAAAAAACGAAAGGCAACTATTTCCTGCATATTCTCAAAAGATGGATAAAGTATATAAACAAGAGCCAATCATAAGCCAGTTGATACACATATGATCTATCAGCTGCTTAAAATTACAAGGTACTACACGTATGCCAGATAATCATGTCATCCAGCTTACCCAACAAAAGCTATACTCAATTCGATATAGAAAATGTGGCAGAAGCTCTTACAATAGAAGACAAGTAAGAATCGAGCTTGTGCAGATTCTGATAAACCAAATTGATAGCATCCTTAATTTCACAGTCTGTCCACTGGGATCCTTCTTGATTTATTTCCGGGAGTTTCTCAAATAGTAGTGGAACTGAATAGCTGCCCTCAACAGACGAGTCAACCTGCATAGCAATTAAATATACATATTACAATGGCTTTTTCATGTTTTGTGCTTTATTCTCTTTTTGAATTTCAGATGGTGAAACAATCTTGAAAATAAGGCTACCACCACAATAAAATCAAGTTCAAATGTTCAAGCAGCTACCTGCCGCATTGCATGCACATGGCCAACAGATGCCTCTAGTTTGAAGAATAAGTCATTAATTCTAATTAGTAAGGAAGGCAATGAATTCTCTGGATCTCTCACTAACCCGTCTCCAAACTTGTCAATTTCCATGTAAACCTATACAAACCACGATTGACATACATCATATTCAGATATGTGTGTGTGTGTGTGTGTGTGTGTGTGTGTGTGTGTGTCTGTGTGTCTGTGTGTGCGCATGTTGTGGGTATTCTTAAGAGGATCCCTTTGGAAGAATAGTTGAGAGGGTTGTTCCAGACACTCCACAATGAGATTCAATAATCCAAACTGACTACAGTTTAGATCTCGATCCAAGAACCATGCCTACAAAAAATCATTGAAATCTAAAATCGTTTGACAATTTGATTATCATACATTTAGTTCTTTTAGAAGAAAGATTGTGTCCGTCTATTTCTTATGTTATTGTTTGATGACTATATGATTTTGGATTTTGGTGATTTTTTGCAAGGACAATCTTTGAATGAAGTCCTCAAAGTTAAACAATTTGGATCAACGGATAGCTTTGATGGTTGAGCTCACCTACAATCCTTTTTCTGGTAGAAGGGAACCCTCTTATGAAGCTCTCACTGTATGTATGTGTGTATATATTCGTGTGTGTGCTGAAAAGAAAATATGAGAATTTGACTACAAGCTAATGGCTATAATTGGTCATCTTTCTCTCCTCAAAAAATTAGAGACCATATTCAAATTAACAATATATGAACAAGGTAAAGCAAACCTGGGCCAAAAATGTGGCGAGAGAACATCTCAAGCTAGTTAATATAGTTATCCGTTCAGATATGTGAGCGGATGCAGAGAGGGATATACTCTGTATAGAAGAACCTTCAGCAATGCATCCACGTATCAGCTGAATTGCACCTTCAATAAAAGCATGTGGCCCTCTCTCTAACACCATAAATTTTACTTTTTGAGCATTAGATCCCTGAAATCAGAAATATCAAACATAAGTCTGTGATTGTGTATCATTTGTATATAACATCAATATTTGTGCATGGTTTATTCAAATCATAGCCAGCACAGACAGACACGCATAAATGCAGGAACGTAGCCATGATTTGCATTGTGTGGGGAAAACCCAGAAAGTAAACTGGCTTTATTTGTTTTATTTCTAGTAACAGAATGTGGCTGGTAAGATCAATTGTTATGTTACCATTTTACCCAGTTGTGAACAGATGCATTACCTGCTACAAGCTATAGTCAAAGACAACTGCTTATATGTAGCTTATCTTCAATTTAACAACATAACAAGCAAATTAACTAACTATACGCTATGCAATATGGCTTATACACAATATGATGATAGGAACGATTTAAAATTATGTAAAACAATCTCAATGTCACAAAGATTTAAGGTTGGTGTTAATAAAGAAAAGTTAAGGGAAAGTGGTAGAGTGAAGGAAATCAAAAAGTTCCTGCATGAGCAGGAAAGGACTTTTCTTATTTGAATAACAGAGGAAGCTTTGCCTTCCATGTGAACCTGCTTGGTGAAAATTTGGAACTGCCCCACCTAACATAAAAATACGAAAAACAACTAACACAAAGAAAACACCTGCTGATTCTAATAATCTCCAGGTCCTTGAATGTGGCCTGGTTGATACCAAGCGAACCCTTTCCACCAAAAGTTGTTGAACCATCATGACCAAACAATTTATACATCCCGTGGCACAGATCCTTCATCACTTACTTGTCAAAACCGATTTTGAACCTTCCCAAACTGGCTTATTTCCAGTAATTCAGTATATAATCTGTTTATTTTTCTCAAAAACAACTTTTTGCTCATGAAATCGTGTCACCTAAAAGGCTTTAACCTCCCAAATCCTAGCTTCCAGCAGAACTTCAGCAGTAAACTCAGAGAAGGCTGGCAACTCATCTTTCTATGTCATTCATCAAATAGGGAAGCTTCTGTAGTTTAGACATTTTGATAGGTTCTTTCGTGATATGCTTCTTTTTTGTTCATTGGTTGCTTGGGTGCTTGGGTGCTTGGGTTGTTCTGTACTTGTTTTTGTTTATATTTTCACATGTTTTTATTTGCATTCCCCTCTTTCTGTAATCTATAATGTAATTAATGATGTTGTGTTTTATTTCTCACCTCAGCCCTAGATTGCCAAAACTGCAAGTTCTTCTGGATATTATGCAAATTGGAGAAGATGTGTTCCAACATATCATGTAGAACATCAAAAACTCTAGATGCCTCTGTCGATACCCTGCACATTTAAAGAAACTAACATTTAAATGTTTTCATTTATCACTAATATGATCCAATAGTACATAAACAATGGCATTCTTCCAACAAAGCATGATATTGTTGATCAAAATAAATTTAACCATCTCATAACAACAAAAGTGATAATTTGTGGGCACTGATTCAAGCATCATGTTTCAGTACAAGGGCGTTACGTAGATTTTATAAATTCATGGAGTCCATGAATTTTATTTGATTTCTATACTACGTAGAATTTGACTGAATTGTATGTGGAATTTAATGAAGTTTGTTAAACTTCAAACATAGAGTTTGAAATATATTTATAGGCTTGATTTTCATGGAATTTTAACGGTCAAATAGAATACTGTTGTCATGCTTACTTTGGCAGTTATATTATTTATAAAAAAAATAAAAATAAAAACTATTTAACATTACATATACACATTCTGGATTACACTAAAATCACCCCTAGTCACTATTTTGGAAGGTATTAACTACAATTATTATAATGAAAAGGATCATAAAAATACGCATAGTGAAAATAAAAATTAATAGGGTAAGCAAAATATCGAACTACAATTATAGAAAACAGACTTTTTTTTTTTTTTTCTTTTTTCGGTTAACAACCCCCCACCCCACCAAAAGGCAAACTTGTAAGTTTGTAACGCATACAAACAAGAAAAGAACAGAGAGGAAGTTGAAGTACAAGCCTTGCTAGCAGGGTGTCAAATCATTAGCCCCTGTAATACCACCAGCTCAGAATAATCTTATTTTCTACTGTTCATTTTTTTCCTTTTTATACAAGCAATTTTGTCAAGATTATTTCAGTAAGCAATATGGCACTAGACAATTGTAACTTGTAGGTTCAATAAATATTTATGCAGGTGTGCACACAGGTCCTACCCTCGATGGTGTCTTCAAACGTTGTACAAATTCAGTCAAATCCTTCATGTTCACAAGCAGGGTCGGCATCTTAAATCCACCAAAGTGAAGGGGAAAGGGCTAGACCAAAATTCATTACTTTATGTAATATATTTTTAAAATTCTTTGTTGAAAAGACCCAACCTTTTATAGGTTCCATAAAAATTTGACTATAATACGCCTAAACTCTTTTGTGACTCTTTTTAAAAACCTGAACTGAATAAAACTAATCTTTTAAACTCCATTAAAATCCCAATTGAACACACTAGGCGAGCACATTAAGTGATGCAGGGGCTCGTGTGTGCGTGTGTGCGTGTGCGTGTACGTACATGTATATACGTATACGTGTATATGTAAATCCAGGTTTAGGATACTGGTGTATTGGGATTACACAAAGTGCAGAAAATGCATAAAAGCAACCAAAACAGAGAGTAAAGTAATGTAATAAGAGGCATACCCAGATGACTCCAGTGGATTAAAAGGCAGCGGAAGGGGAAGACATTCTCGTCGTTTCCGTGATCTGGCTTCCCCCCCAGCCCCAGCAAGAATTGGAATTTTCCGGAGAAAATTGGAATCAGAAGCGGGGAGGAAGCGGCGGACGCGGTTCCAGAGACAGTTGGAGTAGAGCGAGATGAGGGGTTTCAGGCCCTTGGTTTCGGTTGCATCACTCGCTGGGGCTGGGGCTGGACTGACCTCCATTGCCTTGAGTTCAATTCAAAGCTCGCTCGCTCGCTCGCTCGCTCTCTCTCTCTCTGTTATAAATTGTAAATTGTAACTGTAAGTGCAATTGTAATGGTATGCGGAACACCATTAAACTGGTAATTTCATAACAAGTGTTTTATTAATTAGTAAAAATTAAAATTTTGAAATTATTATGTTATACATATTATATTAAAGGCCGAGAACCCAGCCTCGGAGCCATGGGCTCTAGCAGCCTATTCTTACGTGCAATTGGACCGCCGCATAGCCCAACTTTTGAAATTTTGGATTTTTCATGCGGAATTTGTATTGATCATTTCGTTTAAATAATGGATCGTTTGGTCCTAACTATCTTAAATTATGGATCGTTTGATTCCGGACGTTTAAAATTTATTTTGCAGCACAAACAATTAGTATTTTATTTTTTAGAAACATATATATGTGAAAAATTAGATTATTTTCTAATTTTAGTAATTTTTTTCTACATGGCACTCATATTAACACAATTGGAGGTCTCACTTGTCCTGCATCTTAAGCATAGTGACATAAAATTTGACACAACACTTGATATCTAATCAAGTTCACTAGGGACTAAACATTACAAATTTTTAATTCATGGACCAAAGTTACAATTGGTTCATAATTCCGCGGCCACTTCTCCAATTCTTGAAATAAACTCACTCAGAAAGTCAAGTCGCGTATTATGGGTGGCCCAACTTGTCAAGAATTTCGGAGAAAATGACACATCCAGCACCTCCAACCACAAGTGAAAGAGTAAGTCCTTCCTCCTGGAACCAACTGTGGCAACTTCATACCAACGGATGATGAACTTGACGAGTACCTATCGGACCAAGACATTGCAGCTGGAACAATTCCGAACAGCACCAGCACTATCAAAAACATGAAACAAAAAGAAATTTGTTAGCACTAATCGTTCGTTTTATGCATCTAACTTATCTATCTAATGCAAAAACAATAATCTGTTAACTGCAAAAGCTACGTAAGATATGGCACACGCACACCTCCATAAGTTCCAGCAAAGTCCAAGGCTTTGAAGAATATTTCTGGGTCTAGCAATGACAGCACAACCGGTGGAGCCAATGTCATTAGGTATGGCAGAGACCGGCTTTGGCCACCCGGGAGTTTCAGCACTGGGTATTCAAAACCAAAGATGAACACTGATTTTTCGAAAATTCATCAATAGGTACTTTAAAGATGAATATATAGTGGTGGAGAAGAAGAAGAAGGCACTTACAGTCGGCAAGGAAATCAGAGAGGCCCAAAACAAATCCAATGTACGACGTTGCAATAGCAAAAAGGGAGAACACCTCAACAATAGGCTGAAAAAGTAGAAAACATATAAAACAAAAGAAAGGAAAATAGAACTTCATTCTTTTAAATACCATATGTTACTTGCAAAGAAACTAAAGAATCGTTGTGATAAACGTACTCCAACAACTTCGTTGGTAGCTTGCAGTTGTTGTAATGGATCCATGATCTTATCTGAGCTCATGTCGACATTCGTGATGGTTCCTAGAATCACAGCATTCCAGACTAGAAATAAAACAAGTGGTATACTTGTACCTAGAACAATTGCAGTCCTGCAAAATAACAACTTGATTACATACACAACATACAGTATAAACTATATATGCATAACAAAACTCTATCAGACAGCAAACTTTTATAAGCGTAAAGAAAACATGTGAGGTTCTTCAATGGAAAAGGCCATACGTTAATTATCCCGCATTGGAACATATTGCAAAGCTGTGACTGAGATTTGACTGTCATTTTCTTGATTGTCCAATGGTTTCAAGTTTCTGGTACTAATTTTTTCAGGTGCTAGGTTAAATTGGATGCTGCCACATTTAAGTACCTCTTTTCTGTTTAGGTGCTTTGATCGATAGTGGAGAGAAGGCTAAGGTCTTAATGAGTTGCAGTGTACTGAAACCTTTTTGGGCGATTTACGAGAAGCTAGGAGAGGCAAAGGACGACCACCCCTTATCTGTGGGAGACCACCCCTTATTTCTTTACATTTAGAGGGTCAATTAAGCAGCTACAATTTCTGGATTTATATGGATGGGTGGACTTTGTTCAGTTATTGTATATGTCCGGTGCCTGGATTTTTTGGGCTGAGGGTATTTGTGACTTTGACTATAACTATCCCATATTAATAATATGTTTCCTGTAAAAAGAAAAAGTTATCACCTTACTTTTGACAGGTCTCCTTCAAGATCCGTGCAAAGAACAGGCACTACATTCTGGAAGAAGTAGATACAGAATGTTATAGGGTTTAATTCAGAATCGAATAACTGTAAGTTAGTAATGTCACCTGGTAAACAAACGACAGAACGATTATGGGTATACTCATGGGAACAGCTTGAAAGTTGGCCTTCAAAAGCTCATCCCATTGTAGGTATCCACCTGCAACTGCCTAAGATAGAAAGCTCGATGTTACGCACAGAAATAACACATATCCAGAACAATAGAATTGTACACAGCAATGCCTATGAGAATCGACTAATCACTTTCAGGGGAAATATTCTAATGACTAATGTGCTGGAAATTTGGTGTAAAATGGGCAAGAGCAACAATCCGTAGTCTAGAGAAATTCACTTAAGTGAGGAAGAGAGAAAGAGACTTACTACAAGAGCAGCAAAAGATATGATGATTCCAAATACCAGAACCCCATTAACCGCACCAATGAAGCGTTGACTACATGTGAAGAGAAGTTTACAGTCAAATCTTAACATGTACACAGAGAAAGAGAGAGAGAGAGAGAAGAGAGAGAGAGAGAGGTTTACAGTCAAATGGTAGCTTGATATACACAAGTATTGGTTCATTCCCCAACAATTTGAGCTTTTGGAAACATAATGATCATCATTCTCGACTACTAGAGTCTAAAAACTAACGAACGATTCGTTCAAAATATATATCTCTACAAGCATTGCATAAATTCACTTTTCTTACTAGAGTCTAGGAAAAGAACGGTTTACTTTGATGAGCTTAGTTTACAATATAAACCAACAGGTTACAAGAGTGTAAAGACAAACCTTCCGAAGTAGCATATGCCTCCCAACAGAACTGAAAACATGGTTGCACTTTCCCATCTGCAACCACAATGCTGCCATCAATACCTAACAAAGGTAGAATGTGCTCCAAAAATAAAATGCGATAAAACAAGATGCTTGCCCAACAGATGGGCGCATAAGCAATGCTACAGATTTTGGTCCTTACAAGGGAATTCCGAGAAAATTTGTCAAAATTTCTGAAGAACGAGCTACATAGGCAACAAGAAGTGCGTAATGTATAAAAATGTATGACCAACTGCAGGTTAATGGAAGTTGTTATCAGAAACCGATAAAGAAAACTGCAAACAAAATTGTAGAATCGTAGGTTATTGTCATGATAGACCATGTTTATTTGAGAAGAAACAAAAGTTATTAAAAAGCAATGAAAAGTACTTACAGAGAGTGATAAAGAATCCACCAGTAACAAAGAATGACTGATTACCAGAGAATTACAACCAAAAACAACGAAAACCAAGTTATCCTATAGCAGTCTTCCAACAGAACAAAATAGAAGAGAACGTTAAATTCCTCAACTATGAGGAAACTGAAGCCTACAGAGACGACAAAATCGTCATCCTTTCCAAAAGCTCTTCTACCAGAGTTGTCAAGAATTCTCCTGTTCCTCTCCATCCAAAACACCCACAAAACAACAATCCCCAAGCAGCCTCAAAACACACTGGCCTTCTTAACTCTACCAAAAGCAACAAGACTAATGGCACCCTTCTGGAAATACCAACTCACTCCAGTCTCTTTGAATAATTTTTTTCCTTTAAATAATAAAAACCAACAAATTTAGAGCTATTGGACGGTGGAGAAACAAAAAAAATAAATGCAAACTGGTAGACCATGCTTAAATAACTATTGGTACAGGAAATACATAAGAGCAAACTGAACCTATAGGCATTTACAAGAAGAAACGCCTTGTTTCGAAATAAACAAAAGAAGCATAATACAGATTTTATCAGTAACCATTTTCACATTATAAACTATAGGAGTGGTAAGAGTGTCACTCGGAAAGGTTCTTCAACAATAGGAGACATATCTAACCCTAATGTAGAAGCCATGGTCAAAAAGGGATGCGGCTGTATTGAAGAGAATTATTTCATCGGGCACTCCTTACCTTAAAACATTATCAAATTAGCTTACTTCTCTGTTGGTTCCCTTACCTATCTCTCTTGCAATTCAAGCCATATCCTTCTGTACGAAGCATAGGACACATATCCTTCTCTCTGCAGCCCAAGCCATAACTTCAATTTTGAGGGGAACTTTCATTTTCCAAATCAGCAATTGGTTGAAATTTCGGATTAGTAACATCCTCACAAGACATCTGAAATATGATTTACCTGAAAAGCTCTGCAGATTATATAGCCTCCACACCATTCAATCCGGTAGAGTTTGTTATCAATTTGCACCACTTTCAGTGTCCCAAACAGAGAAGGTTAGTTCCTACATCTCAAAAACCCTTCAAAACCGCTAAACTGTTGTAATTTGACAAATTATAGAACCTGGTAAACTGATCTTTCAACAATTCCTCCCCAACCCATAAGTCCTACAAAACCAAACCATATCTCCATTGCCACAAACTATTTTCAACTTTCTAGAAAGGCAACATGCTCTTGTGAAACGATATCCTTCCATGGACTTCGACTTGAGCCTTCACATCGTAAACTGGAATGATTTCCAGTACTATAAAATAAAGGCAAACAGTAAACTGAAATGCTTTCCAGTGCAACTTTCAAATTTTTTTTAACCTTTTCAGCCACTGGATTCATAAAATTTACAGCTCTAAACTTGCCGCCCAAGTAGAAAGACCTTCCTTTTATCTCAATGGGTGCAATTAGTTTGGCATGGGCATGGGCTTATCCATCGGTCCAAGTCTTCGAGGTCGTCCCAGAGAATCATAAAAAACATAAGGAACAAAAAATGGAATGAAAACAAGAAAATGAAGGTCATTTCTATGTTGAAATAATTGAGTATGTCTATGTCCAATGACCTATCAGTCCAAGTTGATCTTCTCCACCCAGCTCGGACTACAGTTACCTTGGTTTTCATTTGACGGTGAATCCTGTGAAGCCGGCCTTCATTCTTCTTCACATGGCTTCTTCTATGACACCAGTATGCATAAAGCCGATTCCAGCGGTTGGTTCCGGTGGCAGGATCTCAATTATTTTCTTTCAAGGGCTTGCCGAAAGAGGACAGAACCTTCAACAGATGTCTACCAAAACTTTAGACCTCTCTCCATAATATTTTTTGGTAAACGTTTTGGCTCAGTTTCCTTCTACCAACATCGAATTTACGACAGCAACATAGAAAAAACCTACCATCAATCCCACCTCAGCTAGTCACTTTAGAAATCCAAAATCATTTGGTTGGTTTGATGATAGAGCTAAAAAATAAAAAGGAAAGAAGAGAAGAGAAACATCTTATTAAACAGATGCACCTTGCCAAGAATGACTACCTATTACAACTCTTTAGATACAAAAACCGAAAAATCTAAAGACAATAACTCGTCTCACAGTTAGTCCTCAAAGGAAAATTTGGATAGATTACACTTGAAAGCAAGGAAGGTAACACTGACTTGAAATAAAAAGCTTAAACGAAAATTTCTAATATGCTACTTTAATGTTCAAACAGAATCCAGAGTATTCAGGACAAAACAAAACAAAACAAAAACCCAAAGTATGCACGTTGAGATCAGCAATTAGCTATAAAATGCTTGAAAAGTCTGTCAGATATCACCCTACCAAACAATTTGAACTCCCACACTCCCCATAGTCCTCATAGCCATTGACACCTGAAATCGATCGCAGGACAAACTGTTGTGAATTTAATCTCCTTCTCACAAGTAAACCGACGAAAGAAACAAAATTAAAGTGCCAAGAGGACAAAGAGCGACTAAAGAAAGCACACCAAGAATTATTTCAGAAAAATTCAGCATACGTCCTATAGTGTTGTATCAAATACATCTGTAGAGAGAGGGAATATCGCACGTAATAATGCTCATGGGAAATAGTGTTTATGGTTCAGAGGTCCATTGTATAAGCTTGTATTAAACCGAGTTAGTATGGTGAGCCTAATTAGGTCAAAAATCACTTTAGCACTTATGTATAACTGTGGTCTATCGACTCTATCCATAAATAGCGAAAGGAAAGATAGTACACATGCATCTCCCAATAAGAACAACAACGTACACAGATTCCGACTCTCAAACTAACATAAGGGCACAGTTTGTAAATTATCTCTGGTAGCACATAAATACAGGGGTTTGACATCACTTTTACATAGCCTCCCTCTTGGGGAGAACCGCAACTCTCCATTCTCTCTTTATATTGCTTTTGAATCAGAAACAAAACCCTATTTCCCTTCACCATCCACTGCCACAAAAGAAACCATGCAGCCACGTTGTGCTTGAAGGAGTTCCACCTCAAAATTGCTTCAGAGATTTCTTCTATAAGTTTAATTCATTCATGTTGTGTATTACATTTATATTTTAAGCAATCATGGTGTAGCTAAATTCAAAGCTGGGATTTCTATGTAGCCTTGCAAAACTATTCTATGTTAATAAGTTAAAGTGCTCAAACTTCCAATCTGTTTTCTTGTTTCATTCACTGATTCTATTGTTTGATTTGTTTATTAATCTTAATGTTTGATCACCATTAGGCTTGCTTATGAATTATTTATCAAGGTTATAGTACATCATGCTTAATCTTGGTGGACACGTGAATGAATGAAGAAACTGCTTATGCACACATCCTTCCATGTGATTTCTTTGGTTCTTTGAAGTTTTCTTGTTCTTAATGAATTCTTAATTAGAAATCTAAGTTTAAGATCACAAATAGATTGCAGATAAGGAGTACTTGATCATAACTACACATCGTATGGATGACCATAAATAAGTAAAACAAACCCTAGATGCAGATTGGTTAGTTGGCTACGTCTGGACTTAATATTCATGGAGTTGGTCTGTAATGGTGAAATCGAGATCCCTAGTCTCATTTTCATTGTTTCTAAATCAATCTATCATTCATATTTACATTCTCTTGTATGTTAAGTCACTTTAGTTTTCAAGACAAAACCCAAATTCAATATGCTATTTCTATTGTGCAGTTAGGGTTCACATAAAGCTAGCGGTTTGTAGAGGTCTAATCAGTCCATATAGATCGACACCTTTACTTGTGCCACTATAATAACCATATATTTGCACTTGAAATGAACACAACATGAGTGTGTGACAAGTGTCTGTTTAACTATTGATGGGAAAAAGAAGAAAGAAAATCCAAGTACCAGTGATACACTGCCGGAACCCAATTCGCACATAGTGTTTACATTGACTTGGGCTATTAGCAGTCCTGTTGCAACCTGCAGTTGAAAGGGAACAAATTGCGGTTAGCGACAGCCAAAGCAGACATTTGGAGAGTAAAAACCAGGGCTAAATAGAGGTCGTTTCCAAAATAATACCATGTATAACCAACAAAGGATGCATGTAAGTGCAGAAGCCAGAAATCCAGATTGTTGAGTGACTGCAGGAATTGCAAGGATGCCGGCACCCACCTAAAATTCAAATGGAATTTTCTATATTATAAATGCCAACGGTGAAGTCACAATTGCAATATCTGACATACATGATAGGTGATAGGTGATAGGTGATAGTACAAGTAGAAGTAGAAGTAGAAGAGCGAGAGAGTACCGTTGTCCCTGCGACTAGCAAAATAGCGCTGGCTAGACTTCCTGTGGATTAGGTTACCCATATGATAATAATTAGAAATGATGATATTTGATGCTAATAATAATTGACTAGTGACGGTGACTGACCAGGTTCTCTCTTCAATGTGGTTTGGTTGAGGTTGGAAAAGAGACGCGGCTGCAACTCAAACTCGGCCTCCGTCTCACTCTCGTTTGAGAGGCATTTGATAACTACTCTTCTTCTTTCACCTGGACTTGAGTAATCGCTCTTGCTCCTCCTCGTCTTTGTATATGATGTCGAATAACTACGTGCAAGGGGTAGTGGACGATAAGCGGAATAATGCAACGACAACCTTGACGATGACGACGACGACCACCACGGAGGACTAACAACCCAAGAAACACAACGACAGAATGCTGCTGCCATTGCCCTTGTGCTCTCTTTTCTTTTTGTTGGTTTTCCTTTTTTTTTTTTATTTTTTTTTTTTTTTTGCTCTCTAGTTTTAGTCTTTAGGTAGACGATGAGCAACCAACGCCCGCCAACCAAAATAATCAAGTTGTTTTTGTAATTTCACTTTGGCCCTCTAACTTTCTGAAAATTACAAAAGATCCCCTAGTCTGGTGGATTCGAAATTAGTTGTATCTGGTGGCTTAACTCTGTTATTAAAGATATGAAGACTCTTCGAACATCTTTCGCTTCAATTTCTTGGCACCGTGTCGTTAGAGAAGCCAATTTTGTAACAGATGGTATTTCTAATTTATTGCAATGACTTGATTGTGAAAATGTTTCTCTTTGCTAATATTATTTTATGTTCCATTAGTGATATTTTATTCACTTGTAGCATAGTGATATTCTATTCACTTATAAACGAGAGATTTTTTGTTCAAATCTCATAGGTGATGAGTACAATACAAATTCATCCCTCCACTAAGTGTAAATATAACATTTTGAACTGTTTATTTTTCAAGATGCACATTATAGATCATCCTTACAAAATATTAGCTAAATCGAAAATATCTAAGACATCTAATTAAGTTCAAAGAAATTGACGAACGCATAATTCTATAGAAACCAATGAAATTTTATCATGATAATTAATATAGACAAATGGTTTCACGTTAAATTGAATTTTTGCAAGGATAATCTATCAATCGAAACATACAAAATAGACGATTCGAATCGTTAGAAAGTTTATAGTCGAAAATCACAACGTCCGACTTCTCTCCTAATCTTGTATTTCAAGAACGCAAAATGACATTACTATTACTGTTGTAACAAGGTTGATGCTTACGTTCAAAATGCCAAATACAGTCAACATAGGCTCTCACATGCTTACGTTCTAGAGAATCATCATTACATTTCAAACTCATTCCAAGGTTAGAGAATCCTCAATGCATGCCAAAACCTATTTCTAATGCCCAAAATCCTTGTATTTAGCAAGACTCAGAATCCTCAACCTATAATATTTGCAATCAACGTTTCTTTATTTCGTATTGAAGAATGAAAACCATTCAACACTATGAACCATTACAGACTTCTCTTAGTAAAGGAGTAAATCACTCAATCGACCCGGAAAATTCGGAGGATGAGCCAGAAGCACTTCTCGAAGCAGGTTCCGTATACCAGTTATTTTCTTCACGAGTAAGAAAGTTCGCCTCTGCATAAGGTAACAAATCCAAGCAAAATTACAATCATTTCAACAATCCTTGATATACTTCAAAAGGATATTTAAAGCCCTTTACGGTTCACTCCTTTAAGCATAGTCTAAAATTATTTCGACTAGGTGATCATAAACGTTAGGCAACCATCCATGAATTGCTTGATCTTTTTTTTTTTTTTTTTTTTTTGCCCTTTTCATTTCATGCTTCCCCATGGATATCAAGCTTGGGAAGTGTTATAGCTATTACATACACAAATAGTTCAAATGACCGCATGGGCGGCAGCATGATGAATTCATCAATTACTTTTATCTTCTTTTTTCCAGCTATGCATTTCGTCACAATTAATAAACAATCTTTTGATGAATTTCTTTAACATTAAGATTGCTAGTATCATGGCACTGCAAATAATGTTGATACAGTAATGCCGTAAAAATATCAGATATGGTACATTGGACTGACCTGACAAAAATACATCCTTATATTCATCATCGTCATATACAAATTGGGGAGGGTCTGGAGAACCAATCCCAACAATAGTGCTTCCACTGCATTAAGAATATTGAGGAAATGGACATAATGGAAATGTAAAATGAGTTTGCACTAGAGAATATATGTTCTTCATACAAAAGTTGACAATGTGGCATTTTTCCGCAACGGCTTTCATTTTGGGCCATTTCACGTTAAAACCCCTTTTGTGTAACACAGATGATGGGAGGAGAGATACTTATTCATACTCCGTATAGTTAAGTCTTCTCCAACACCACCATCAATAGTTTTTCAACAAAAAAAAGAAATAATATATTCCGAGTCTCCGACCTATAATGATCACTAGGAAGTAGGAAGAGAGGAAGATCTCTTTCCAAACAACAAGAATGAGCAAAGATAGACAGAATGAAGGATAACAAACAGAAAGAAAAGTCATCTGATATGTGTGGCATGTGGTCCAGTAGGTGAGCAGAACTGACCGAAAAAATTTAGTCATATTGTTGGTCTAAATTCTTGGAGGCTAATATTGAGTTCATTTGAAAAATTAAGAGTAGGAAACTATTGATTTGTGTGTGAAATTAGGCAACAAATTCAAAGCCTACATGCAGATATTCAAGTAACAATACTTATTATGATCAATGCAGATAATTATTTCATGAGAAAACAGTCAAAGCCATTTAATTGAATATGCCAATAAGAGCTATAATCAATGTACCTTCCAGACATAAAAACAGCGTCATATTGTCCACGGCTAGCGGCAAGTACTCGCTGCTTTAATCTTTTAAGAGATGGAAGAACATCAAATGCTGGAGGTTCTGCATATGTTTACAAATAAAAAGTTTGCAAATGGAGTCATTTTTAGATAAAAGATGGTCCCGTAGCAGTCTGATACTTAATTGACCCAGCTGAGACTTGAGATCTACTTTCAGAAACAAGCTAGTTTCTCTAGTTCTGTTAAAAATTCATTCCAGGTCAAAGTTCTGTGCAATACATTTGAACAACAATCACATGCGGAAGATTGTTTAGACAATAATGATAACGATTCCAATGTGTACTAAAATAATTCCAGATGCAAAAAAAGTTAAAATCCAATCAAGCAAGATGTCCTAGATGAACCTCTGGAGTCATATACGTACGAAACCCCCCAACAGATCAATATAATCAAGATTCACCTTTATTAATCTTTTATAAGTCAGCTTTCACAATAGAAAGAACATAAGAAAAACAACACCCAGAATTTAAATTCCGAAGAGATCAGACAAGCAGTTTGTTCTACTCATTTATAAATCTAAGGCAGTTCCAAAACTCTCAAAACCAATCAAATGTTAAACTCCAAATAGACAAGACGATCACTGTCTCCTATTACAATTGAAGTGAAATTCTGTTCATAATTCCCATAAACAAAAATCAAATTAAGCCCTAAAGTGTTCAGAGAAAAGTGTTTCCTATACAACTGAAGTCTAAGGCTGTTCCAGATTCCCAAATACAGTCAAATCAAAGGCACATAGTGATCCACAGAGACGGAATTCTCAAATTGGAACGTTTAAGAATCCCAATTGTAATTCCGCATTCTGAGAGCCTAATGAAGTAACTACTGCAAAATATGCTCTTAGAAATGAAAAGCAAGTAAAAGAAGTAGCAAAACAAAGGACAAAACAGGTGTTTGGGCTATAAAATAAAAATAGGGCCTGCTATGGGGCAGTCTATTTTTATTTAAACGAAGGCGTGCTACACCGCCCACTAACTACCAAGCCCAACTTGGACCGGCCATCTAGGGCTCGAGATGACCACTTCCAAGTGCGCCGCTATCTCTTGAGAGCTCGGTTGACAAACATCCCAACCAACCTGATTACCTCCTTGAGGCTATATTTTCTCCAATGCAGCCCAATACTAGTGAGACCAATGGACTTCTCTAGCATTATCCTGACTCTTATGGCTCGAATCTTGCTAGAGTTTTTCAGCTTTCCTTACATTTCGAAGTCTATTTACTTTCTAGTTATGTAAGGTGGCTCATCAGTCCACAAGTTTCTTTAATGAACATTTGTAATCTTGTCTCAATCATGAAACAATTACAGCTTTCTTTACATTTTGAAGTCTATTTAATTTCCAGTTATTGTAAAGTGGCTCATCAGTCCAAAAGTTTGTTTTATAAACGTTTGTAATCTTGGATTCAATCATGAAATGATTACCTTTAGTTTTCTGCTTTCATTGTCATCTTATTTTCATTTACTAGTAAACATATTTTCACATTGGATTCCAAGTGCTCGTTCACTAGAGGCATAAAAAAGACACCTAACCAAACTAGCGTCCCACTCAGTGCACAATCGTTTTGGTTAAGAGGTCAGATCGAAGCGCAAATCTTATAAAACACTGCCTGTTGGCAGCCTCCAACAATGACACGCCTATTCTCTTTTTCACTCAAGCCATCCTATGGCATTAAGACCGAAAGCAACACTAGGGGCACTAAGACCGAAGGTCCCTTAAGTTAGCAATGTATGACAGCACTCCACATCCTCACAACAATGGTTTTATTCTAACACTCCTAAAATGTAAATCTCCCTCGCCACTAAAGGGTACAGATCAGAAACTGGGAGATTTAACTTGCATGAATTTGAACACAAGATCTCTCTCCCACTCTAATCAAATGTTAAACTCTCTTAGTTCCTATTCGAAAAGCTTAATCTATTAGGACATGGGCTAATAATAGCTTTATAACAAACAAACAATGTATCTTACTATCTTCATTAATACATACCTAAATCATTTATGCAAACATCTTGTGATATTCCATGCCTTGAGATTCTCTCCAGCAGTGTTAAAGGATCAACCTTATTAGTTTTATCCAATTGGAGGCACTGAAAAATAAAATAAAAAAGTTCTCTTAGAGAAGATGAGGAAATATATTGTAGATAATAATCCTGTCAAAAGTTTTAAATGTGCAATACCTTGTAAACTTCAGCTGTCGAACATGCCTGTTGGGGCTTTATAAGAACCATTGGAATGTCCAATGGTAAGGCTGGACTAATATTTTGAACAACCTGGACATCAAAAGCAGAACTAAAATGTGAACTCTTACAGATTATGAACCATGATATGAAGCACAAACACTTCTCCAAGTATTTTAATGGCAGTATCATATAATTTGAGGACATAATCTCTTATATGGTACAAAATGCACCTCACGAAAGTCAAAATTGTTCTGTGCATGTTAGAGATAACTATTTCGTACACGTTATAGGGGTGGAAAATCATTTGTAACATATTGCAGACCCGTCATGTGAAATTGTGTAGAATTAGATAATAAAAAACCGACCAAAATTTATGCTGTAACACAGACATACCTCACCCCGACCAGTACAATAGGCT